GGCCCACACTCGGACCCAGGAGCCCTGCCGCTCCCGGAGAACTCGCTGCCTGGGTGCAAGGCGCGGGGGGCTCTCTATCCTTTGGAATAGTACTTTTGAGTGGGTTTTCTCATAATCAGGATGTTTACCACCCTACATTCTGGATTTCCTGTATTCTACTCTCTTCCAGCAATTTCTGACCTGGAGCACAGGCTTTGAATATATTTTGGCCTTACACCCTCAGACTATAGCCCACTCTTAACTTGGAAGCCAGAGCTTTACACAGCCAGCTGCCTGCCACCCTAGCTCCCTCTGTATCTGTTCTTTGGTTAAATGCCATTGTCCTTCCATCTTGTCCACCCTTTTTTAATGTGACAATCAAGCTCTAGAATATTTTTACTGCGCTTTCATTTGTCAGTGAGATCTGGGGCTCGGTACATTAACCAATCTTTCTGTATGGCTCCTGCCAGCTCTCTCTTTCACTGCTCCCAGCACCTCTCTGCAAGGTCTTTTTCTTACTACATTCTAAAACATGCTTAGCAAATGCCCTCTAGCTGGCTGTGAAATGTGAGGTCAAATATTATTCTTTCTTAAGCTATTTATATTCATCATAACTTTCATCAATACTATAACTATCACTACTTTTCTACTGACCTCAAATTATTATTCACTGATATTTCATTGGATTGAGTCTATAGCACCTGTACTGTATGGTTAATGAAGGTTCAATAATTCTAATCTTAAAGAGATCATTAATAGGTTTTAAACTTTCTTTGTGTTCATAGCAAAGTTCTGATACTATTTCCTTGCGGCAGCATTTCCTTGAACAGCCTGTATTCATATCCACTGGGTGATTTAAACTTTGAAAAGTCAAAACCAATCTTGAAATAGGAAAAGTATGGGCAGGTTGTATGGAGTATGGGATGTCAGAATGACCAGGATTAGCAAATATTTGGAATTTTTGACTCCTTTTCTTTGTTTTTTTTTCTGGTGGTGGAAAAGAGTGCAAAATTTTGGGGAGAGTCTGTAAGGGTGGTAGTCTCTTCA